CAAGTGATGATTATCTATGATTAGATTAAGTTTTTAGGGCTTAAAGTATGGAACCCGTAGTGAAAATGCAGAGAAAATCGCATAAATTTCCCATGACAGAATAGTATGTGTCGACCCCAAATGGTATGTGTCGATACGTGAACGATATTAGACTCAGGATGAGTCAACACAAAGAGGTCTTGCATCGATACATGAGGACTTTCAGACTCAGGATGAGTCGATACATAGGAGCATGTGTCGATACATGTTGTGTGGTATACTCAGTATGAGTCGATACAAGAGAGGATGCGTTGACTCATGTTGCGAGTTCAGTGCAGTACGCATCAATCCAAGGAGTTATGCATTGACTCGTGTTGTTTGGTTTTTGGCAGAATCAGTTTGAGAATGCTGTAACTTGAGTTTTCGGATTCCGTTTGAGGTACCGTTCGAAGCGTTGGATAGACAACGCGAAGAACTTCATTCTTAAGGATTAAAATGAAGAATAGGAAGGATAATCCTAGTATCCATGTTAAGAATCTAATTAGTTCCCCTGTTGATTGTTATGTTGGTTTTTATGAAGAATGATGAGAATGAGATATATATATATATATATATATATATATATATATATATATATATATATATATATATATATATATATATATATATATATATATATATATATATATATATATATATATATATATATATATATATATATATATATATATATATATATATATATATATATATATATATATATATATTGTTGTTTGATTGTAACAGTAGGATGAATGATGTTAATGATGTAATATTTCAGAATAGTAGTATGTAGAGATTTGGTGATTTAGAAGTAAGCCTTAGTTGATTAACTAATTATAGGCAATATCTTGTATAGGCCTATGGCCAACATGTGAAATTGATGAGTTACTGTCGTATTACTGTACGACTGAGTTATTGATGAGATGATGCTAATGAGAGTTATTTTGATGAATTATGATGTATAAATGATGTTTGATGATTTATGATGATAAATGATGTTGATGAAGAGATGTTGAGATGCTTTTAAGATGTAGACCTTTGGCCAACGATGGTGTTATATTGAGATGTTGGCAATTATGGTGTTGCTATTACATTCATGATTGTGTCGCATACATTGCATTTTGAGATGGAGCTTATGCTCGTTGAGATGGCCTGTATTGGCGAATATTGAGATGAAGGCTTATGCCTTGTTGATGCCTCAATTAATTGGATATTTTTGAGATGGGAGTTCTGCTCCAATGGTACCACATGCATTTGCATAGTATCGAGTCACATTATATGATTGCATAAAGAAGTGTGTATTGATGTTGTAAATGTGTATTATTGTTGTGATTATTATTGATTATGAGATGAGAAGTGGTGATTTATATGATCTAATTTAATATATTAATTATCATACGCTTTATTATATTGTTAGATATCTCACCCCTTCTGTTTGAATGTTGCCCTTATGTTGGTAACGTGCAGGTAATCGAGAGTGAAGGATGTTTACCTTCAATAGTTCGAGTCAGTGTCATTGCTCTGATATGTAACACTCGGGGGGATGAACGCTTGTTACTTTTGATTGTTGATTATTTAGTCGTTGAAATTTAAGTTGATTATTATTGAATTGTGTTGTTTTGAAGTTGCTGTAATGATGATAAAGATGTTATTAAGAATTTCGCTGCGTAGATGTTAAATTGTTGAATTATTTAATTAGAGTATTTATGCTGATGGTTCATCCAAAGTTTAAAGTGTTATGTATCCACGATGAATGAAATGAGTTTTTAATGATGAATTTGTGACATTCCGATTCCTTTGCATGAATGATTTTATAACTCTGATTTATATATATAATTGTCGGGGTAGAATTGGGGTGTTACAGCGAGCGGAAAGAGTTAGTAACCAACCCTCGCACATTCTAGTCTGTGTTATCCTTAGCTCACGTTGTACGTCGATACTTTGGATTTGTGCAGATCTTGTGTATCGAGTCAGTCATGTGGAAAAAGGTTTTGTCCCAACCCCCGCACTTTGTCCGGAGTTTGCAATAGCCAATGATGACACTTTGTTACCCGCTTGTTTGCTTTGGGTGATCCGCTCCCCTTAGCTAAAACATTTCTATTCTTTTCTTATTCCATCTCTCCCGCTTGTCTGCTTCTGGTGATCCGCTCCCCTTAGATAAATCATTTCTCTTGATTTTTCTTTTACCTACCTCGATTCACGATATCTTGGTTAGGCCATTTTGCTTGAGCTAGTGTGCACTAGTATCGCCATGTATGTACTTCCTTTGTTCGAGCTTGCTACTTTAAGACGCATTACTCTCACCATGTATGTGCTCTCCTTTGATTTCTTGGGATACACTACTCTAGCCATGTATGTGTTTCCTTTGCTTGCTTTCTTTCTATATACCATACTCCCTTAGGACATGCTTTTTTCTTTCCCGATGCAAGATAGACCTTAGGATAGTAATCCATGCATGCTAACATAGATAGATGTTTCCCCTTTATCCTTGACATAGGGTAATCATTGTATAATAAGATTAGGGATTAGATTCTAGACAGTCTCCCTTAGATATTTTCCTTCTTTTTGCTTCCTTGCATTTAAAACTAAAACTTTCTTTTTCCTTAAACTAATAAAAACACTCTCTGACAACTTAAATCCTTTCTTAAGGTAAAAAAACACTAACCAACTCCTTTCTTTTTTCCAATAGACTTTTCTCTTCTAAGAGCATGTTAGTTCCTTTCCACTACAGGTCATAAGTCTCCAAAGGTTGAGCAGTGGTGGAATGATTGAATTTAACATTGTTCAACTAAAAAACACAAACCCACCAAAACAAGTGAGCCAAACTACGGTAACTCTGATTCCTCAAAAAGAATACGTAGGCATTAGGGTAGGGCCCAAGCAAGCACAACTTTATTTTCCCTACATTATTTTCTGTTTTCTTTCGCATGCGTTCCCTCTTTGCATTTTCTTCTAGATCTTAAGCATTAGATTTGAAACACACCCTTTGATTAGAACAACAAGAGTGGATATTATAGAGTACTACGGGCGTGTGGGATACTAATACCTTCCCCTTGCGTAACAGACTCCCTTACATGTATCTCTTGGTCGTTCGACCTTGATTTCACCCTTCTCAGGTTTACTCGATGCTTACCTTTCCTTTCTTGTGGGATAAAATACGTTCGATGATAACTTCATTGATTTCGTCTCGATGATTTGTTCAGTCGGTTGTTTCAAAGTTTTGTGCCCTATCAGGTCAAGAGGTAAATGAGGAGAAGACTGGCATTATCTTTTAAAGTATTGTGGCTATTTATATGAGACACAAAATCACGTAACTATTAAATTTTAAAGTTGTGAATACTCTAGGAAAATATCTGGGAATCCCTATAAATGGAAGAGCGCTCAAGAGGCGTGATTTTCAATAGGGTCTCGATAACATTTATGCAAAATTGGCAAGTTGGAAACTGAACCATCTCTCATTTGCGGGACGTGTTACTTTGACAAAAAGTGTATGAAAACAATGTCAATTTACATTATGATGACAAATATGATTCCGAAAGCTACCATTGAGGAGATCCACATGATGTAGTGCAAATTTATTTGGGGTGATGCTCCTGAAGATAAAAAGTACCATGATGTTAAATGGATAACGTTACCAGGCCTAAGGAAGGAGGTGGGTTAGGGTTTCACAAGATTAATCATATGAATATGGCTTGTGTTATGAAACTGGGCTGGAAGCTGAAACATTAATCGTCTGAGTTGCGGTGTAAGGTTCTGATAGGGAAGTATGGTCATTATACCGGTCAGAACATGGTTAGCTTTAGAAACACAATTTCGCATTTATGAAAAGGTGTTCAAAATATGGAAGATCATCTGAATGCGGCTGGTACTTGGAGTATAGGTAATGGCAGAAATATCGATCCGTGGAAGGATATGGGGCTTACTAATGGTTTGATTATTGAAGATCTGAATGTTTCAATATCGCTGAACCTGTTGGGCGCTAAGCTCCACGACTTGGTAGATTTAAGTGGAGATTGGAACTTCAGCTTACTGCAGGGATGGTTGCCAAGCGAATTACACTGTAAGATCAAATCTCACTCGCCTCTAAATGATTTTTATGGTAAAGATGAATTTATGACAATTGGAACCAGTGCGGGGGAATTTTCTGTCAAAGAAATATACAAGTCACTGTGTGATTATAATGAAAATGATATGGGAGTTTTATGAAAACATATTTGGAAGTTGAATGTTCCAGGGCGAATTCGCTGTTTTACTTGGATGCTAGTCCATGATAGAGTGCTAATAAACCATCGTAAAAGTAGAATGAGAATTGGTGGTAGTGCTTGCCAAACTTGCGGAGAAGAGGTGAAAACAACTCTTCATGTGTTTAGGGATTGTCCCAATGTCATGCAAATCTGGTCCAATAAAATTCCTTCGGGTATAACTAACGATTTTTTGCAGGCGGGGTTACAAGACTGGGTCAATCTCAATCTTGAATCCAATGAGAAGACATAAAGCAACTGAAGTGAGTTTTAGACAGTGGCTTACCACATCCTTTGGACCCGGCGGAATAAAGAATCTCATAAAAAATATTTTATACATCCTATAAATGAGACTCAACACATCTCGATTATGGTAAAGGACTACGCTGCAACTAGGAGCCAACAAGAAGTTATCATGAAGGTGGAAAGGAAGTTTATTTATTTATTTAAAAAAATTATTTATTTTTTCGGTAATTTAAAAAAAATAGATTGATAAATTAGTTATAATTCAGATACTAAATTTACTTATTTTATTTTATTCTAAGTATCAATTATATCTTGTAAAAAAAAAAAACTATATATCCAAACGTAGAAAAAATTTCCAAAAATTCATCTCAAATAATCTAATCCTATTTTTCATAGGTTCTACATGTTTCAATGGGAACTTCACTTCTTGTTCAATCCAACGATTCATCTCAAATAATCTAATCCTATTTTTCATGCATTCTACATGTTTCAATGGGAACTTCACTTCTTGTTCAATCCAACGATTCATCTTCCATCATCAGAAACCCTAACTCTAACCAGAGTTCCCGGAGAAATCGGTTACCGACCACCGTGAACCCTAGCTCGCAGGACGGTGATCGAAACTGCACCGTGAAACACCCTGGATTGAATCTTGTGATGGGTCAGGTGAAGATTCTCAAGAGAGGAGAGAAGCTGAGTCCTGACAATGTGATGAAGAGTGAGGGATGTTGTGATTTGATGTTAGGATCAACCGATCGGTTTGGTCCAGATCCTCAGACGGTGAAGAAGGAGGTTAGGGTTCATGATTTAACGGGGGGACTCTATGCAGGACCGACTGTTTCATCGCCTCCGCCGAGTTCGGTACCGGTTCCGGGGTTTCTTGGAATGAAAAAATGCTCTGTCAGTGATGATTTTGTGGTTTCTCTGTTTAAGTGATTCTGTTTTTTCCTTGAATTTATCTGTTTATGATGATGGGCTTTCTCTGCTTTTATTTAGAAAATGGCCATTGAATGCAATGGAACAAAGAATGTTATGGAAGAAAGTTGAAGGCAAAAGACTAGAATTAAGCTTGTTGGGTTGTTATAGATTTAGCTTTCGGTTTCTGAAATGGAGATAGATGGATAGAGTTTTGAAATTAGAATGCATACCAAAGAGGGTTATGTTTAGATTTTATTTATATTTTAATTATGAAAAGAGGAGTAACTTCATTGTGCTGTGCTTTGATAACTTATACGCATGTATTTCTGATATTTAATCCAATAAAACTTGATACTTTGCTGTTATAGTAGTAGTGGTATGTTTTGAATCCATAACCATTGATATATACATCATTATGAGTTAATTAATTGATGTACACTTCCGGGGCACGGAATATGAGCTCTCTATTTTACTATGGAGTTATGTACCAAAATTATGAGTTTTCATTTGATGGCAATGTAAAAGTAATTTAAATGACTGTGCATACTGTTCAAATTCTATAATTAGTTTTTGGAATGTGAAATAAGGAGTGCGGTATTTCCATGTTGTCATTCTGAAAGTAATATTAGTAGGAATGAATAACATTGAATATCCCAATTATCATTCTCAGGAATGTGATTTTTATTGTTTGAAAGTAATACATTTTGGTTTATGAATGAGTTCAACTCTTTGCATGCATGAACTGGGTTTGGAACAATTACTAGACTTCATTGGTGTTGAATAGATTTGCATTTGTGAAACCCTCTTTTCTGGTCTAGCTAACAAGCAAACAAAAGTTCCGTTTCTTATTATATGTTCTTTACTTGCTCGATTTTTGTAATTTGCTCAACTGACCTTATCTTATGGTGTCACAAGCATGGAGTTGGAGGCTTTAATTGTTTCACAGTTTAAGTTTTAGAATTTCTGTTGCTTGTCTCAGTGCCTTTCTGGGTATGATTGCTAATCTTTTCTGTTACTCTAAGAGCTGCAATTGAATATTGTTCAATAAGAGTGACAGGAGAAAGAAGTTGATGAAAAAAGAGAGATGTAAACAAATAGCTATTAGCCGTAACTTAATTCCTTTCTGGGCTATGATTGAGAAAGCCAAACAATGAATTTCGATTGCAGTTAGAAAAATAAGTTTTGTTTAGAATACTTCACCATTACAATTATTATTTATCTCCCCAAGTGTTCTCAATATAAACTTATTCGTAGGCACATGTTTCTTTACATTGTAGTGTTCAATGCTCTCATTACAAATAAATTGTGCGAATTTCCTTCAACATCAGACATCGACGGTCTTGGATGTAACATCTTTTATTCATGTAATTCATTATTGTGATGTAGTTTGATTGTAGGAACTGAACTGAATTACAAGTCGTGTTCAGGTAGTATCAGTTTCCAGAACCAATGCTTCTTCCACATAAATGCCATCTCTTCAATGGGAATACCTTTGGTTTCAGGCAAGAACAGCATAACAAATACGGTCATGATGACAATCCAGCTAGCGAAAAAGAGAAAGATCCCAAACTTCAATGCGCAGAGAAGACCAAGGAATGCTTGAGCAATTATGAAAGTAAACAGAAGGTTTACAGCAACTGTGATACTCTGCCCTGCTGAACGTATTTCCAACGGAAATATCTCGCTTGGAATTGTCCATCCAAGGGGCCCCCACGACCATCCAAATGCTACAACAAAGAGGCAAATCACAATTACTACCATTATCGAATAGCCTCTTGACAGTGGCTGGTTTTCCCCAAGCTTGAGCCCTAGAATTATGGCCACTATAATCTGTTCATGTGAAAAAATGAAAATAAAATAAGTTGCCATGCATTAGACTAATTATATCCCGACTTAATGACAGAGATCGTTAAAACATGATTAGGATTTGTTTCTTACCTGGCATACGATCATCTGTAGTCCACCGCTGATGAGAAGAACTCTCCTTCCCAATCTATCAACTGTTGCAATGGAAAGGAATGTCGAGCAAGCAAGAACGCCACCAGTCAAAGCTGAGGAGTAGAGGGAAGCATGTCCGCCGAATCCCATGCTTTGGAACAGCACTGGAGCATAAAAGAGAATGGAATTTATGCCAGTCAAGATCTGTGAAGTTGGCATGACAATTGCCATAACCAACTCTGGTCTATACCTTTTCTCAAGGATGTTACGAAACGGGTGCTTTATCGAGTTCGCCAACTCACTTGCATCAACCATATCTTCAAACTCTGCATCAACATCGCTAGTTCCTCTGATTTTCTCTAGGAGTTTCCTTCCTTTGTCTTTCAATCCACGTTCTATTAAGCTATTTGGAGTGTCGGGAAGAAATATTCCTCCTATCATCATCAAAAGAGCCGGTACTCCAGCCAAGCCTAGGGACAGCCTCCATCCCCAAGGTCTAATATTCTGTGTTCCGAAATTCACCATGTTGGCCGAGAAAATCCCAAGAGTTGTTGCCACTTGAAACATCATGTTCAATCCTCCTCGCAGGTGTGTCGGCGCCATCTCTGATAAATAAAGCGGAATTGCCTTCAAAAGAAGCATGAGGGGGAGTAGCTCAAGTAATTTGTCAAGTTTAAGGTATTATCTTCTAACTCAAAGTCAAACAAAGATTGTTTCCATCACAAATAATATCTTTCTTTTTCCTGTACATTTTATGAACTCACATCAACTTTTTATCTGTCATTTATTAACAGAACCAGGCTTTAAGAAGATAAAAAAAGTTAGTTTCAGCCCTTCATAGAAGTGTACAGTATTTTAAACCAGAAAAGAAAAACAGAATATCTTCTAAGAAATAATGATAATAAAAAAAATGTTATTACCTGATTTCCAAATCCGATGCCAATGCCGAGCATAACGCGGCCGAGTATCAGCATTGTTAGGTTCATGGCTGAAGCATTCATAATTGATCCAATCAGAAAGCTGACACCACCAATAATGATACTTATCCGACGTCCATACTTTCTTGTAACAGGAGATGCAACCAGAGATGCAATTAAACCAGCGATGTAAAGAGAAGACGTAAAGGCCGCAAGACTCTGACTGTCATATTTGCAGTAGTTATTTTCATGTGCATGCTTCTTTTGCATGTATACTTCTGGGAAGAATTGTTCAAGGAAGTCATCCATGGAAGTCACCCCACCTGTTATCCATAAAACACGCATCATGGTTGCTCCAACATTATAAAGTAACAAATCAAGAAAGATATTCTAGATAATCCAAGTGTTATTATAGATCTTTATCTTCTATTATAGTGTCTGAATTTGCATGCAGAGAGAATGGCTCAAGATATTATAATCTCTGTATTTGCATGCAGAGAGTAAACACAAAAATTGAAACATGATACAATAATGTTATGGATCTGTAGTCTGAAATTTCAAAACTTGAATTCCTTAACCAGAATCTCTTGTGGAATATATTCCTCCTGTCATGCAAATTTGAAGGTTTGGTACAATAATATTCCCCTTTTCAGTATATCATTCTTATTTTACCCTTTCAACCACAACAAGTTTTACTAATAAGGATTATGAAATGAAATAGCCTCAAAAACATGGAATCAGAGAGAAAAAAGCAATATATTTTATCTTTTATGATCGAGATTAAGGAAGAAGAACCTGAAATTCCGACATCATATCCAAATAATGAGCCTCCAATAGCCGCAACAATGCAAGCAATGATAACATAAGGAGTAACTCTCCCTTTATATTGATCTGCCCTTTCATTCCCCACAGCATCTGTTGTAAAACCACCACCTGCCATTTTCTTGATTCAAACCAGAATGAATGCTTTTCTTGTTCTATTTCTTTCTTCAAAAAATGAAAATACCACTCGTTCCTATATATTTCTCATCATTTATACTGTGTTAAACAAAGTCAACCAAAAACGATAAAAATAATATATTTTTGCCAAATGGTTGTGAATTAGGTAATAATAACAATGTTTGTCTGTATCTGCATCCCTGGCATCAGTCGATGGAATTTTCTTTTTTTTAGTATAGCTGCTCAACAAAGTGTTTCCCTAGAACATGTACATACATACATCTGTTAAAGATAAACCACTCTTCTCTTTGGTTCAAGTTCCGTGACACTTAAAAACACACTCGTACCACAATATATAATAAACGTGAAACCTAATTTTGTGCTATGCCATTTGTTTTGTTAGGTCATTTTAGTTTTTGTTGGTTGGCTCACATGAATGGAAGACCTGTTCTTGTAATTTTTTTTAATTTACTTTATTTATTTATTTTTATCAATTGGGTATCTCTTAAGCCGGATATCTCTTTATTTATTATTATTATTAGATTTAATTTAGGTTTTATTGTAAAAATATTTTTTATGGTATACATAACTTTATCCTATCGCATATTTGTAAAGATATTTCAAGATTCAATTTTAAATATATATATAAGGCATATAATATATAATGATTATTTTCTTATTATTAATATTGTATAGTCTTATTTTATCAAATATATAGTGTATAGTCTTAGAAATATTAATTAAAATTAGTCATTTCCTTAAAATAATTATTTTTATTTTATAATACAGAATTATTTATATTTCCTTAAATGATTGACTCTAAAATATTAGTTTTAGCGTTTAAAAAAAATCATGAACTTATATAATTTTGTTAAAGAAAAATAATTAAAATGGATATTAAGTAAAACATAAAAAAAAACTAAAACAAATAAAGAACAAAGTGAAAAATATATTTTATCTATTTTATTTGTTGATATGCACTAGTGGCATACAATTCATGTACTAAATATTTTACACTTATACTATTAAATAAATGATTATTAATGTAATATTTAAATACTGGCTCAGATTCAAATTATTAATTATTAATTATTAATTTGTTTTTTATGATATGTTACTTGGATATTTTTATGCATATTAAAAAAAGAGATAATTTAATAAGAAAATAAGTTTGTAAAAGATCTTACAAAATTATCTTACATAAATAATACAAGAAAAAGGAATTTAAGGAACTAGAATTTCCATAAAAAATTTATTTATAATTTAGAAATTTAGTATGGAATATTTTGTTTAATTATTTCAACTTTTAAAATATCTCTAAAAATATTTGTTGTTTATAGTATTAGTAGCAAATACTTATTACGTTTAATTTTCATCTAACTGGGCATTTGGAATCTCGATTCAATTATTGTTATCTACTTGTGTGCCTCATGACATCATTCGAATTAAGACCACTTGATCTTGCTTGTTTTTTCTATAAATATAGTAGGGGTGCACAACAAACCGCAAACCGGTCACATTCGCAATAACTGAACCCGAAAAAAACTAAATAAAGTCGGGTTAAAACGGATGGAGAGTTCATCGGATTCAAATAGTATCAAGTGAATTTAAATGGACAGATTCGGTTCATCATAATAAATCTGCGAGTAACCAAATCAATCCGAATAAATATTAAAAAAAAAAAATCCTATATAGTCATACAATACAACCTCAGTACACTAATAACATGCACATGATATATATATATAGAAAATATTTATCGATAAGAAAGTATGAAAGCAAGAAAGACAAAAATTAAGAATCTAATTATCATAAAACACATTATCACATAATAAAAATATACATATTTGAATTTTAATAATTTCTTATAATCAAATAAATAAATAAATATGAAAGTTAAACGATTTATTGTCATTGTCAGTGATCCACACAGGTTTTTGATAGATAATGTTTTCTATTAGTTTTTGTGCAGACAAAATCATAGAATTATTTTATCCTCTCACCGATTGAAACAACTCGTAATCCACCTTAATTCAACCCTCATAATCGATTTAAAAATTGAGCGGAAATGAGTCTCGTTGATTCAATCACAGTTTAAATTGAGTGTCACTTTTAGACCCGAACCCGTTCAACCCGACTCATTGTCTACCCTAAACTATAATATGTTTTTAGAGTGTGCGTAATGTCCTTTTTAACCCCTTTGAATAAATTTTCTTTTTCTTTTTTATTTGTTGTTTAATGTAAGTTTTTTTATATAAAATTTAATATGTAATAACAATAATTTTCTTATAGAAATTTTTTATTTAAAACATTATTATACTATTAAAAATATAGTTTATTTTTTTCTTTAAAATATGAATAAATATAAATATTACAAATGTATATGTATGTAGCTATTCTGGATTGGATATTTAATGACTCAGGGAGGGGTACACACTTCAGGAGTCATTCGGGTTTTAAGATAACCTTTACGAGAGAGTTCTTCCTAAGGTATAGCCCATCCAAAAAAGTTTACCATAATTTAGGCCAGCTGAATGATCAGACAAACCATGTCGACTCAAAACTAGAATGGAGAGAATATTCAAATATGGAGACCTAGAATAACTGGATAGCATATTATAGTTAATTGGTAACATGAATGAACATATTAAGTAATAAAGTATGGTTTTAATCATCATAAAGTGATCACATTTAATAAGGGACAATAGTCGTAAAGCCCATTAAAGAATTTTAAGATTGGAGTATATCAGAGTTATTATAAAAGCAAACGACCACCAAATAAGTAATATACACAATTCAAAAAGCATTTAACTAAGATTTTACCAGTCCTCGATGGTAAAGTTATACTAGTGAACTTTTACGAGTACATTTGACGCCCACTGCAAAATTTGATAAAACTGACACAGGCCACACAAACCATTCCTAACAACAGTATATTCCCATCACACAATGGTAAGGATTATCACCAACAATAACAATGACCAAGCTACCATATCATAGATGTTATCCGACATAAAGGAGTTGCGCTTCTAAAATGAGACGCTACATGTAACATGTGTGATATGCAACAACAATAACCTCAACTAATGGTAACTGAGCAAGAGGACCCCGTGGATCCCTAACCACTATGAGAAAAATTTAGGAATCTTTGGTCACTAACAACTTCAAACTAACATTCATAACGCCATTTGTTGGTAAGAGTGATCCTCAAGTGTACATCATCACCATTAACACTCAAATTACTATCATTGGGGAAACTGACTCACTAAAAATGAAAACTAATGGATGGAACTCTGAAGGTGAGAGTTTGTTGGTGGTATATGACCCTTATGAGGTTCTCGATAACGAGATACCAAGAGCTGACGAGGAAGATGACCCTCAATTTGCATCCTGTAAACACCAAAAGGTATCCACAAACACCATGTTCAACGTATGCCAAGATCATTTTGAGTCCTTGCAGGAAAAAATGGCCCGGTTGAATAAAGTGATCGTCAAGGTTTCTAATATAATTACAAACTAAGAGATATTCATTTGACCTTTCCAAAATGACTTTAAGGTCGCTCACTTCAATGGGTCCCTTGCATAGAAGGAAACAACCTCGATGGAAGAAATCATGGCAAATGAAGAATGTTACATCAAAGGACAAGAGAACAACGCATAGAAAAAACTTGGAGATAAAGCTAATGCTTATAAGGTAAAAAGCATCTCCTCTATATATATCATGGTGGCAGAAAATATCTATAAGATGGGATGACTCACTCTTATGCTAAGGTGCTTGGTAGGGGAAGAGGTAACCTTGGTTTTATTTGAAGTACGTAGGGGCATATGTGGAAGCCACGCTGGAGGAAGATCTTTGGCAAATAAGTTGCTAAGGACCGTACTATTGTTCAAACATGTTAAGGGACAATGTTGAGCTTGTGAACCGATGTGGTAAATGTAAAAGTTTTCAAACTCCATTCATGCCATAACTGAGATATTACACTCAACCACTTTACCTTGCCCTTTCTATCAATGAGGGGTGGAGGGTCATTCCCATTTTCCCCGAGTCAACTCAAGTTTCTACTAGTCGGGATGGACTACTTCCTCAAGTGGGAAAAGGTAAAATCATTGTCAAAGATAACAACATAACGGGTATGACATTTCTATTTGAGGAACACAATATGTAGGTTCAGGTTGCCAAAAACTATTAACCACGACAAAGAAACATGTTTTTACTAGCTCATATGTGGCTGACTTTTGTCAACATTTAGGAATCCAAACGAAGTTTATTTCAGTCAAACACCCCCATGTGAATGGTCATACATAGTCGATCAAAAAGATCATACTCACCAGGATAAAAAAGAAGTTGGATAACAAAAATAGACTATGGGAAGAGCATCTTCACGAGGTAGTCTATGTCTATTGTAAATATGAAACAAACTTTAAATTATTGCACTTAATGTTTTGTCTATTTGATGATATAATTGCATGGACATCATTAAGTATTACAAGTATTATAGTCATACCATACAACCCAACATTCATCGACCAATGAGACCCCTTCAGAATGTCCTATGGTTTATATGAAATGCTCTCAATTGAAATCAACATGCCCATATGACGACATGTTTACTGATGTTTTTGGTAAACAATCACGAGTTTTAATTCACTTGCAGGATCAAACTTGAAAAATCCTAAAGGACACTTTGTGCTAAACGTTTGAAAAATGTATTAGTGATAAAAGTTTTTTAATGTAAAGACTCGAGAAAGTAAATGCTTAAGTGCTTTAATAAATAAAGTAAATAAAGGAAAATGGTAAAGAAATTGGATAAAAATGCTTGAATTATAAGTGAGACGCAAGTTCATACATTTATCACAAATTATTTATCTATGTGACTCAGATGTGTGAATTTTACAGAGAAACAAAATTAAATGTGAACCTTCACTACAACATTGAAATTCACTTATATACTAGGTATATTAATAACTGTTGATAATTGACATCTCTCTAGGATTTGACAC